TGCGAACAGAGTTACCCTACTTGAGTTTTAAAAAATCAAAGTGAAACTAGCAAGTTTTGGGATAAATTTCGGAAGAACGCTTTTTTAAAATGGTTACGCTGACAAAAAACCTCTACCAGAGGAAAGGGTGATGGTTTTCTTCGTTTAATTTGACTTTAGAATGAAAGGAGAGAGGTCATTAAAATAAAAAAAACCTAAAACTCCGCACTGAACGTACCCGAACTGCTGATGAACAGCAGTCGATCTGCGCACGCAAGGAGATGCTATTCCTATTCTTCTTCTGGAAAAACGAAAGAGAGCTTCAAAACAGACTGCAGCGCCATCTGAAGCAAAGAGCATACATCCTGCGGACACTTTTTGGGCTGAGTGGCCCATCTTGTTATTCACTATCTTTGATAGTGGTTAGGCTACCGGACTCGTAATCGTGACATTGCGGGTTCGGGTGCCCGAGCCTCAGCTCGGTCCTTGGGAAAGGCACTTCACCACGCCTTTTCGGGGACGGATGTTAAACTGGGAGGTCCCGCCTCTTAAATAACTTAATAGTGTTGATAGGGAAGTTAAACCCACACAATTTCACCTTTTTTGTGTCTAATGGTTAGGCTACTGGACTCGTAATCGTGAGGTTGCAAGGTCGGGGTTCGAGCCTCAAGCCCGACGTTGTTTCCTTTGGAAAGGCACTTAACACGAATTGTTCTCACTCCATCCAGGTGTTGATGGGTACCCGGCCATAGACGGCGAAAGATCTTGTCAGTATGTTCGTGTTTTAGCGCCTACACAATGGCAGCTTGCACTCTATACTTCCCAGGAAGTTGAGATTGCTTCAGAATGCTGGGGTAATAATAGTATTATATTGTTAAGCTTGCTGTTGAGCGGGAATTTGCGCCATACTAATGTTACCTACTACTACTGCTACTACTATTATTATTATTTTATTATCATTGTTATTATCATTATTATTATTATTATTATTATTATTATTATTATTATTATTATTATTATTATTATTATTATTATTATTGTTGTTGTTATTATTATTAAATATTTTATTTTTAAGAGAAGCTTGTGGCCGACAACGCTTTTTACAGAGAAAAAAAAATCAAGTGATCCAAATAACTACTCGTAACCAAAGTTTTCTGGATCTGAGCTCATAATGTCAGGCTCAGGGATGGTACCCTATTTACCCTCAGAAGTCGGGATCGAATCTTACCAGTAATGAAATTCTTCAGAGATAACCCGTTTCTTGCAAAGTCCTACAAGGTGTTGCTTCTTGGCTTTGCTCACTGTTATTTCTTTGTCGTAGAGTTTTCTCAGCGCTATACATTTTGGTCTGGATCTGCGGCAACTGCTTTAAAAATCCATGAAGTCAGGGTATTGCAGCCTCCGAACGTGGTATGTTGTTTTTTTTGTGTTTTTGTTTGTTTGTTTATTTCATCTCCGAACATTTCTAAAAATGTTGGTCCACTCTGTCAAAGAGAAACAGACCCTGTGTTTTTTCTCATGCTGTATTGCTCCGTCGGTGGCCTAGTGGTTAGGCTCTCGGACTCGCAACCGTAAGGTCGTGGGTTCGAATCCCGTCAGGGACCCGACGTTGTGTCCTTGGGAAAGGCACTTTACACGAATTTTCCTCACTTCACCCAGGTGGGAATGGGTACCCGGCTATAGACAGCGAAAGATCTTGTCAGTTTGTTAGTGTTTGAGCGCTTAATCGGCTGCTTGCACTGTATGCTTCCCAGGAAGCTGAGAATGTTTCGGAGTGTTCTATGGTCTGCTGGGGTAATAATATAGTGTAAAGCGCATAGAGCCTGCTGTTGAGCGGGGATATGCGCTATACAAATGCTATCTATTATTATTATTATTATTGCATAGAATCGACCCCCATGAATGTTTGGCCGGATTTTAAGAAATTCTGTGTAATCACTTTGGATCTCTTTGATTGTACCATGTACAGCAGTATGGCTAAAACATTCACGTTTTTTTCTTTGTTTTTAGACCTAATTTTGTGTCTGAGAACTGAGAACAGGGTTACTTCAGAAATCTCATTTGGAAGGGAGCTTGGCCATCGGATTATTCTGTGGGTTTATCTCAAATGAATGTCAGACAAATTCCTTTTGATTTCCAAATGTTGTGTACAAATTAATATATAAAACGCAACACTTTAGTGTAAAGGAAATTACTAGCAAAAAAGTAGTACAGGGTGTTTGTTTTTTTATCACACTGTGTATGTGTGTATGTGTGTGTGTGAGTGTGTGTGTGATATATACATATATATACATATATATAA